AGCTTTCGAACTATCAAAGGTCGGTTGCTCCTTTCCTTCAGATCCTGGTACTGGCTTCAATTTAGGACATACATACGGTTTTCCAGAAAGGATTTCGGCTGCCATCTCTTCTGACTGATTAAAATCAAAGTCGCATGTTTCTGTTCCCATACTCGCCATATGTTGGCCTCTATTACGCCTGTTATGCTGATCTTCCTCTCTGAACAAAGACTCTAGACGTCCTGCCTTGGATGCAAGACTTGCCAAATCCTCAACATCCAGGGCAGTGAGTGCCTTTCTTAAACGATTATGCATATTCCGGACCACTAAATTGGTCATCTCTTTCTCACTGATTACCGTAGGACATCGTCCCTTCATCAATCGCACCCTTTCTATAAACTGTGAAGCAGTTTCTTCTGGATACTGTCTCAATTCAAGTAAATCAGTTAAAGAAACAACTGGTAAAGGATTAAAGAATCTAGCGTGAAATGCCATCTCCAGTCCTTCCCATGTCTGAATTTGTCCTGGAGGCAAACTTACAAACCACGAAAACGCCGTTCTAGTAAGAGATAAACCAAACAGCTGTAACTTATAAAAAGGGTTATTGCCAACTTCTCCTAATTGTGCTGTGAACCGACCAACATGTTCTATGGTGGAAGATCCGTCCTCCCCTGAGAATGCATGAAAGTCGGGTGGTCGAAAATTCCTTGGGAGAGGGTGTTCATTAATGATCCTTTCTGGGAAAGGTCTCTGATATGCAGGGCGGTTAGCCATCTAAGGAGTTAATCCATACTGATCCCTTAATATATGTGCAATCTCGTCAGGATCTACATGAAAGCGTTGATGATCAGGAACTTGGAACGGATCCTGCACAGGAATATGAATAGGATCATGTATATATCCTTCAGGCCTGTCCTCCCTTGTATTGCTCGGCTGCGGATTGGTAACCCTTGGTCCCAGTGGAACATTGTTGGGAAAAGTCAAAGGAGATTTTCCCCTATCCATTCGGTTGGGATTTGTGGCACTTGGGAATGTACTATCCACGAATGATGGCCCTGCGAAATTTGCCTGTGGTCTGGACGGTGACACTCCTGGTGGCGTTTGAGTGGGTTGAAGACTAACCCTTGACAGTGCTTGATCTATCATGTTCTGCAACTGACTCTGTTGCTCACGCAACATGTTCGTTTGTTGCTCACGCAACATATTCTGCATAACCAAGGTATGCTGGTTGTTCATTTGTTGAACATAAGACCACCAATCAGTTGGTGGTTGTGGGATTTCCCCGGCATTTGGCACAATGGGTGGTGGAACGGATTCTCCCACCGGTGTCGAAGATGATTGCGGTTGTGAACCTGCCATAACCCTTCCGATGATTCGGCCGGATCTAAGACGTATGAAATTATCGCCGGAATTGGAATGAGCAATTTTGTCTTGCTCCCACTGTGGTCGCCAATTTGTTGATGTAATTTTTCAACAAAAATAAAGTAAAATTCAAAGATATAGAAAATATCCTTAAACTTGATTAATTAGTGCCTGAGATTAGGAATCTCTAAACACTGTACGGTACAGAAACTAAACTGGAAAATAAAAGACTGAAATTTAAAGTGGTGATCCCCAAATCTGACTTTGCTTTGTTGAAGTTGATTGAAGATGCCTTGCCAAATGATGATCCAAATCCTTAAATATTCCCTGGGAAACCGTACTGAAAACCGTCACCCGAACGGTTACAACGTCTCCTTCTCAACCGTCTTCCAACCTTTCTCATGCTGACACGTGTCCCCAGCAGACCAAAATTCCCTATATTTCACTCCTTGAGCCGACCACAGACCTTCCGCCCTTTTGGCCCGACTTCGTCCTTCGTCCGACCTACTTCTTCGCCCGACCCCACTTGGGCCGACCTCCATATCAACCGCCCCCTGTCTTTGATCAAAGGCCTCCGCGTTTGTCCGACTCCTCCTTCTATCCGACCTACAGTTTACCCGACCTGCGGATATCCCATCTCGACGACTTTCCGTCTCGAGGACCTCCCGACTTGAAAACCTTCCGACTCATCGTCTTTCCGTCTTGCGGACCTCCCGACCTGAAGACCTTCCGACTTGAGGTCTTTCCGTCTTGCGGACCTCCCGACCTGAAGACCTTCCGACTTGAGGTCTTTCCGTCTTGCGGACCTTCCGACCTGAAGACCTTCCGACTTGAGGTCTTTCCATCTTGAGGGCCTCCCGACCTGAAGACCTTCCGACCCGAGGTCTTTCCGTCCTGAGGACCTACCGACCTAAGAACCTTTCATCCTGAGGTCTTTCCGTCCTGAGGACCTACCGACCTAAGAACCTTCCGTCCTGAGGTCTTTCCGACTTGAGGTCTTTCCGTCTTGCGGACCTCCCGACCTGAAGACCTTCCGACTTGAGGTCTTTCCGTCTTGCGGACCTTCCGACCTGAAGACCTTCCGACTTGAGGTCTTTCCATCTTGAGGGCCTCCCGACCTGAAGACCTTCCGACCTGAGGTCTTTCCGTCCTGAGGACCTACCGACCTAAGAACCTTCCATCCTGAGGTCTTTCCGTCCTGAGGACCTACCGACCTAAGAACCTTCCGTCCTGAGGTCTTTCCGTCCTGTATTTTCCTTAGAAATAAATAAATAAATTTATTTTCCTTGATTTCCTCACGGTGTCCTTCAGCCAGTTCAATCAACCCTATTGCCAGGCCCATTCTTCTTTTTACCTTGGGCTTTTAACCTAATTCTAAATTTCGTACGTAACAGTTACAAATTTTCTCTCCTAATCAAAAGTCAAGCTTTCCGCGCATGTGATAGAGTTTTTAGTTACGATATTTGTTATGAAAATTTCTTGCATTACAAAAAACTTAGAGTGATCGCTGGTCAGAGTACGGTTTTTGTTACGATTTTTAGTTACGCCATTGAACCTGTAATAAAAATATACTTTTTTATGGTCAAAAAACCGGTCGTAACAACAAACATCTATAAACCACTTTTTGTTACATTATTCATCCTTTTTTTACGTCATTGTACCCGTAATAAAAATATATTTTTTTATGGTCATGCAACCGATCGTAACAACAAACATCCTAAACCACTATTAAAATCTTATGAAGTTTAGCTTTTGTTTTGGGTATGACAAAACGACTAAAAATTTTACAGCTTCAGATGAAGTATAGGATGCGTACTTAGAGGTAAACTTATTAAGCATCATATTATAGTAATGTTATAGGACTAATTTATTTTAATAATATAGTGAGTAAATATTTTTATTTTTATTTTTTGTTTATGCTAGGCTCACTCAAAGGATGCGTACTTGCGCTATAGAGAATGTCCTGATTATGGAGAGTTGGAAATTTGCTATAGGAAATTTTTTTGTCGTAGGAAAAAAAAATTTATTGGGTTGGATGGTGCTACTGATACAAGGTCATTAAGACATGTGAAAATAGAGATATACGCATACAAGATTTGAATTATGATGCTGAAATAAGATGTTTGTAGTACTATCTAGAAATGATGCATCACATGGTTTTACACAATGTTTAGAGTTCCCTAAAGTGCTTGAAGTCTCAACTCAAATAAGAAGTCAACCCAAAAGAAGTAGAGCTTAGTATGAAATAAATTCTAGTTCTAATGAAAATATTTTTTAGAAAAAGTTCATGGAAAAGATTAAAAAACTAACAAACACTTTTGAGGGAGTTCATAATCTCTTAGAAAAAAAGAGATATTATACTAGATAAATGAGAAACAGAAAGAACATATACAATTTGGGATGCTATTAAAGAGATCCAAAATTTGGATGAAGACATTCTCCTGAATGCATTTGATGTCAAATAAAAAAAGGATGGAATTTTTAAGATGATTATTGTGGAAATAGCTAATTGGATAACTTACAAGATGAGAGAGTAGTGATTATTTGAATAATGTACTAAAAAATATGCTCTGTTTTATTGGAATTGTTTTTTTTTTTTTTTTTTTTTGATAACATAGGAACCCGCAATCACTACTCGTCAAGTGCGTTTTAGGTAAACCCCCGACCGAACCTAATAGTCTATTAAGATTTTTTTTTATCACTATTATGTTGGGATTCTTAATAATAATTTATTTTTTGCACATATTTAAAGTTAATAAATTATGTTTTTCATAATTATTTAAGTCATATTTTTTGAAATTGTAAGCATTTGAACGTACGAATTTCTAAATTTGTGTTCAATTGATATATTTTGTGTAATTTATAATATGCGATTTAATTAATTTTATTTAATATGCTTCTATTTTTATATGAAGCATGGAAATTCGTAAATTATTAAAAGAAGAAATAGAGGAAGAAAATGGAGATAGAGATTTACGAAAATGTTAGGCTCCTAACGTTGGCAATTAAGGTGGTGATAGTTTTATTAAAAAATGTTACTATAATACCTCAACATATTGGAGCTTCTATCAAGCGGCGACCAATTACAATAAATGAATATCATTCTTTACGTGATTTAATCGATGGAGATCCACAAAATTTTTGACAAATATATAGGATGTATCCAAATGCATTTCTAAAGTTATGCACTATCGCTAGAGAAAAAACTCATCTGGAACATACAAAATACATATAGAAGAAATGGTGGCAACATTCTTGATCATTGTAGGACGCAACGATCAATATGGTAATGTTCACCGAAGGTTTCGTCGTTTGCATTTTGCGACCAGTCGAGACTTCAACAAAACATTAAAGATGTTGAACACTATAGCACCAGAAATGATGATTAAGCGGTCCGTAGAGATACCTGTTAAAATTCAAAAAAGTACAATGTTTAACCTTCATTTTTTTTTTAAGGTATGAATCCTTTTACTAATATTATCTATAAGATAAATTAAATATTGTAATTTTTTATTAAGTATTCACTTATTTTAGGATTGTGTAGGAGCGATAGATTTTTAAGGTATGAATCCTTTTACTAATATTATCTATAAGATAAATTAAATATTGTAATTTTTTATCAAGTATTCACTTATTTTAGAATTGCGTCGGAGCTATAGATGAAACTCATATTCGGCAACACTAACAGGCCTTCAAGTAAGTAGTAATCATAACCGTCATGGTGTTCAATCACAAAAAATTTTGGCCAAAATATATTTTTATCACTCGGGTCTGGTTCTAATATGATCTGTACAAATCATAAGAAATGCAAGGCTACACTTTGGTTTACAGTCCGGCAGTTGTTTGAAATACAATATTGCACAATGAAATTGGCGCACACACACATATATATTGATTTATATTTGAGAAAAAAGACATGCAATATCTAGATGCATATTCATATATATTAAATAATTTATATTTGAGAAAAATGACTTGCAACTTCTATTTAATCAATTTTCTTGGCATCGACATTGGTTTCTTTATATAATAGAAATATCATTCTAAATATCCTTCTTTTATCTCTTGGTTTGTTATTATATGTAATGTTGCATTATAATTGGTTGATAATTTTTTATATTTTTTCTCTTCAATATGATATATGTATATATAAATATATTTGGGAAATATTCACATTTAGTTTCTTAAACTTATCTAATATTACTTTAAGCATGAAAGGATGATACATGAATGTGTTCCTGCTTTTCTTATTTATATAACTTGGGATTCATATTGTGTCTAGTGTTGGCAGAATGAAAAACACCAGGACACGATTTCAATTGAGTGATAATGGTTGCATTATCTTAGTTCGAGAATTCGATAACAGTTTGGATGAATTACTACAATAGCCTGTTATCAGCTCTTCTACTGAGTATATTAGCATATGGCTCAGCTGCTCAAGTCTAAGTCGAACCCAACTAATTACTCTAGGCTTCAATTGTAAAGTTAGCATTTGTATATCGGCTGAAAATATTTGGAGTATTAGATTAGTTTGGATAGTTTAAAATTCTGTAGAAATTATTAGCAAGACAGCAGCATGTTAACCATTAAGTTCTACAGATGGCTAATTTTTGTTTTTGCTGGAAAATGTTTGTCTTTTTTACTCCATTTTATGATTAACATTTACAACCATAATAAACAAATGTGAAAACTGAAATGTTAGGTGTGAAGCAGCAACGATGGAATCTGGGCAATTGATTTGGGCTTGTTTCTAATTAGAATCAATTACGACTGCTTCAAACGGAAGGTTTGAATTTAGAATAAATTACATCGATAATTAAGGTCGTAGTTATGATCGTAATTGATCCCCTACCATTTTGACCGAGTGGAGACACCTATATAAAGGGTCTCCCCTTTCATTCTAAAGAACCAACACCAACAACTCTTTTCTCCTTCTCTCATCTCTTCTAGCTTTCCGGAAACCTCCCCAGCTCAGTTCCTCTCTCGTTTTTGTTCGCCGGAGCTCCAACGATTAGAGGTGCCACTCTCATTGGAGACGGAAACCGTTTTATCTTTGGGTTAGAACACCAGCCACCGGAGGCACTACCGGGGCGTATCTAATTTTCGGAAAGAGGATCCATCCTCAACTCGGTTTCACGTTCATTCTCACAATACCCATATATTCCAACAATCGAAAATTAGATATTACTTTGCGAGAATAATCGTCCCTGCCGAAGTCGCCGCCGGAGCCACCGCCAGAGAAGTCTCCGGAATCGCCTCCGGAGCCGCCACCGGAGGAGTCTCCGGAGCTGCCGCCAGAGGAACCGCCAAAGAAGTCGCCGGAGCCGTCGCCAGAATCGCCGCCGGAGGAGTCGCTGACGGAAAAGTCACCGAAGGAACCGTCGGAGCCGTCGCCGGAGGAATCGCCAGAATCTCCACCGGAAGAGTCTCCAAATCCTCCGCGGGAGGAATCGCCGGAGCCACCGCCGGAGGAATCGCCGGAGCCACCACCGGAGCTGCAGATAAGGTAGTCGCTCCTCCACTTGGGCCAGTCCCTTTATGGGTAGCCCTTTGTTTTATGGATTTGCCCTTGGGGGATATGGGGGATTTCTTGGGTTTGTGGCCGCACCCTCTACTTCATTCGCGGCCCAAACTGTTGGTCCTGGGCTCGGCCCACAGATGATGCCCCATGTACAACTTCCACAACCATTCACGGGAGTGGACTTTAAGAGGTGGTATGAGAAGATGCTCTTCCACCTGACTGCGATTGGGTTTGTCATGTTCGTGTTGCATGATGGCCCAATCACCCCAGAGCCTGGTGCGGATCAGCAGACGCATGCGAATTATGCATCGTGGGCACACGGAGACTGCATGACAAGAAATACTATATTAGCTAGTCTCTCTAACTTTATTTATAATGTATATTGCAAAATAAAGAGTGCGAAAGGGCTGTGGGATGCCTTTGAGAAAAAATATAAGTCCGAGAATGCCGGGTCTAAAATATTTGTTGTGGCCCGATTTGTGGACTATAAGATGGTAGATGGCAAGTCTGTTGCCGAACAAGTGGAAGAATTTCAATATATTGTTCTCTCTGTTATCGGCAAGGAGATGCCACTGCTAGAAAAGTTCATCACGAGTGTGATGATAGAGAAATTGCCCCCAGGTTGGAGCAACTTCAAGCACGGGCTGAAGCATGAGCTAAAGCAAGTGGGGCTTGAAGATCTGATTGTCCGAATCCAGATAAAGAAAGACAACAGAAAGCAGCACAAGGCTAAAAGTGGAGATATTGCTAAAGCCAACTTTGTCGGAGATCCCGCCAAAAAACGTGCACGCCCAACTCAAAATGACAAGGGCAAAGCCAAACAGTCCATGTTAACAGGTAACTGTTTTAACTGTGGTAAAACAAGATACCAGGTTAAGGACTGCAAGGCGCTGAAAAAGAAGAAGCCGAGTTCCCAACTGGTTGAGGCGAGCCATCGGACTGATTGTGATCTCAATAGTGACGACCTTGTCATTGTTGTGTACGAAACAAATAATGTGGAAAGTCTGAGAGCTTGGTATTTTGACACCAGAGCAACCTGCCATGTTTGCTCCGACAAAACAAACTTCTCGACCTACAAGGAGACCGAAGGGAGGAAGCTGCACATGGGAAATCACGCAACTTCTGAGGTTCAAGGCGTAGGGAACGTGGTGCTGAAGATGACTTATGACAAAGAACTAACCTTGAAAGATATCTTGCATGTGCCAAACATTCGGAAAAATCTCGTCTCAGGATCGCTACTAGTTAGGCATGGTTTTAAACTTGTCTTTGTAGCAGATAAATTTATATTATCGAAAAACAAGATGTTCCTAGCTAGGGGTTATCTTACGAATGGGCTGTTCAAATTAAATGTAATGGCCGTGCGCCGAGCACCACCTACTGATAATAAAAATGTTGCTTCTTCTTTGTACTTGATTGAGTGTTCTGATTTATGGCTTTGTAGATTATGTCATGTAAACCTAAATGCTATAAAAAGATTAGTAAATATGAATTTACTAAATATAAAAGAGGTGAACACTCAAAACAAATGTGAAGTTTTCGTGGATGCCAAAATGGCAAAATTACCCTTCTCATATGTTGAAAGGAAGACTAAGCCATTAAAGTTAATTCACACCGATGTATGTGATTTAAGATTTGTGCAAACTAGAGATGGAAAGAAATATTTCATCAGCTTTACCGATGACTGCACAAAGTATTGCTATCTTTACCTATTAAGGGAAAATAGCGAAGCAATCGAGGCCTTCAAGAACTTCAAAACCGAGGCAGAAAATCAACTTGACTGTAAAATCAAGACAGTTCGAAGTGATAGAGGTGGCGAATATGTGGCCCCGTTCGAAGAATTATGTAACGAAAGTGACATAATTTATCAGACAACGGCTCCATATTCACCTCAATCGAATGGCGTTGCAGAACGCAAAAATCGAACACTTAAGGAAATGATGAATGCATTGTTGATAAGTTCAGGACTTCCCCAAAACCTATGGGGGGAGGCGGTACTGACTGCAAATTACATCCTGAACAAGATTCCACTTAAGGGTAAGGATGCCACCCCTTACCAACTATGGAAAGGCAAGAAACCCACATACAAATACTTCAAAGTGTGGGGGTGCCTAGCAAAAGTGGAAGTTCCGCCTCCAAAGCAAGTCGCTATCGGCCCAAAAATGGTAAATTGCATATTTATTGGATACGCACTAAACAATAGTGCTTATCGTTTCATAGTTCACAAATCAGAAATCTCTGGGATGACCGAGGGAACTGCGATAGAATCAAGGAATGCCACATTCTTTGAAAATATCTACCTTTGTAAGGAAATGATGCAGTCCAACCCAAAATCCACAGATGAAGAACTACGGGGCGTAAAAAGACAAATGGCCAATAGCCCTGATCAAGAGGCTTCAGAGCCTAGGGGCAACAAAAGGACAAAGGTCGAGAAAACCTTTGGTCCGGATTTTGTTAGACAATGATCCAACAACGATCAAGTAAGCACTATCTAGTCCTGATCTTTTTTTTGGAAGGAAGCAATAGATAGTGAAATAGACTCAATAATGCCGAATAACATTTGGGTGTTATCTGACCTACCCGAAGGTTGCAAACCACTAGGGTGTAAATGGGTTTTGAAAATGAAACTTAAGGCTGATGGGTCTATTGACAAATACAAAGTTCGTCTCGTAGTAAAAGGCTACAGACAAACAGAAGGATACTACGATGCCAATTGGATATCCGATACAAAAGACTTACTATCTATAAGTGGATATGTATTTACGATTGGAGGAGGATCTGTCTCGTGGAAATCCACAAAATAAACGTGCATTGCACGGTTCACAATGGAATCGGAGTTCATCGCCTTGGACAATGCTGGCGAAGAAGTCGAACGGCTGAGGAACTTTATAGATGATATTCCATACTGGACTAAACCAGTACCTCCCGTAATGATTCACTGCGATAGCCAAGCTGCAATAGCAAGGGCTAAGAATGGAATTTACAACGGTAAATCCCGACATATCCAACGTAAACATAACACTGTAAGGCATTTGATCACCAGTGGGGTTTTGACTATTGAATATGTAAAATAAATAGAAAACCTAGTGGATCCGATAACCAAAGGGTTGCAGAGAGATCAAATGTACAAACTGCTAAAGGGAATGGGTTTGAAATCCACAAGATAGAGATAATTACAGTGGTAACCCAACCAAATCACTGGGAAATCCCAAACCTTGGTTCAATGGAAAAACTAAACTGTAAGAGTCCGGCACGAACACTCAATTACAATTTCCTAAAAAACAATGAGTGTTATAATGTGCAAAAGTTGTGAGGTTGAGTCAATGACTCTCAATGGTCCTAAAGGTGTGAGTTAGATACCTTGATATAGGATTACCTATATAAGTGTGAAGTGTGGTCCGCTTCAAATGAAACACTTATGAATTCAAAGACGAGATCCATGGTCGAAATGGATCAAAACATAAGAACAAAGTTGAGACTGAGATAGCGACACGTCAATATTATTGACTAAGTGCACGCAGAGGTGGAATAGTTCAATGCATCACGTCAACTGGGCCACCAGTACACTCTGTAATATTGACTATGGAAGGTTCAGAGCCAAAAATACCTGTCCTGATGTGTCAATGTCTCACAGGAATTGAGCTGGGTTTCTGTCCTTTATGGGCATTTCTACTCATGTGGGGGATTGTTGGATAACCGGTTATTTTGCAATCGATTATTTTTTGAGTGAAAATACGACGGGCCGGTGTACCAAATTAATTAGATTAATTTGAAAGAAAGAAAGAAATATTATTTATTATTGTGTATGGGATTTGATTAATATTTTGGCTATTTTGCCTGTCTCGAGACAAACCAAATTGTGCAACCCCAAATTAAACCCGGATATATAGCCTAAGTTGCAGTATTATTTGGATAAAATATTATCCGTTGGATAGATTTATTATAATCTCAAACGGAAAGTTTGAAATTAGAATAAATTACAATCATTTCAAACATAATGTTTGAAATTTAAATAAATTACGATCGTCACAAATGGAAAGTTTGTAATTAGAATCAATTACGACTGCTTCAAACATAAGGTTTGAATTTAGAATAGATTACTTTGATAATTAACGTCGTAATTATGATCGTAATTGATCCCTTGCCATTTTGTCCGAGTGGAGACGCCTATATAAAGGGCCTCCCCTTTCATTCTAAAGAACCAACACCAACAACTCTCTCCTCTCTTATAGCCTTCCGGCAACCTCCCCAGCTCAGTTCCTCTATCATTTTTATTTGCCGGAACTCCAACGATTAGAGGTGCCATTCTCATTGGAGACTGAAACCGTTTTATCTTTGGATTAGAGCGTATCAAATTATTGGAAAGAGGATTCATCCTCGACTCGGTTTCACGTTCATTCTCGCAATACCCATATATTCCAACAAATGTAATATGTTCTCATTGTGTAGCTGAATTCTACTTTCAGTTTGCTCATATTGCTTTTTTCAAGGATATAAAGATGAATAGAACTTAAACGTTTGTTTAGATATATTTTGGGAGTTAGAAATTTTTGAATGAAAAATAGGTGTTGGGATGTGATGTTTTAAATTGAAAATATATTTTTATTGTAATATTTGAAGTAAAAAAAATAAGTGTTGGTTTTGATGAATATTAGGAGATTTTTTCAATGAATAATTACAAAAACAATGTTAAAAACGTGAGTAAGAGAGTCTTAGCTTGTTCTTATATTGCAGTTTCTCTTTGTCTTCCTGTAATTACACCCTTGATTTAATAAATATAATATTGCATATGCCAATACATATATGGCTATGGGGTAGTTGAACCGGCCAAGTATCATTGTTTATGGTGGAATATTAAGGTATGTTTCTTGTATATCTTAGTCATGGCACTATGAAAAAATAGGTCATTAATTGTACAATTAATCTTTCCTCTTCTTCAGTGAGTTTCAATTTAGGTTTCATCATTGTCTCTCTAATAGATAAATTGATGTT